AGAGCTATAGACGCTAGACGTGGGTCGTTGGTAGCACTAGTGACAAGAGTCGCATGCTAGCCACCCAATTCCGTTTAAATTCTGCACTTAGATAAATTTTCAAGTTTTCTAGTGTAACACACATTCAATTAGTAGTTAACTCGCAAGGTTAAACTCTCAATTACTCACAATGTTTAACTTTCTTTAATACTTAAGTAATAAAATATCATATTTCTCCTTCGCACTCTCACTCATGGATGACATAAATGCGGAACATCAACTCATGACACACCTTAAGATAATGAGATTTGAATATATAAGCCACTTAATCGAATCTAGTTAGAAGAATCCGAAAGGAAATCACGGTACTAGATAGACCTAAGGTACTCGCGAGAGAAGCACCTCGCACACAATTTGGTTTAGAAAATATAATAAAAAGGTAGGTGGCAAGCTAGTTAATTGATTCATCAGTCACAAGATTCGAAAAGAACAGCTTGCAGAACAATAAAACATGTATTAATTATTGAGTCGATGATCTATTTCTAGATACATGTTTTATTGTTCTACAAGTTGTTCTCTTTGACACTCGCGACTGATGAATCAATTAACTAACTTGTCACCTACCTTTTTATTACGTTTTCTAAATCAAATTGCGTGCAAGGCACTGCTCTCGCGAGCGCCTTAGGTCTATCTAGTAGCGTGATTTCTTTTCGGATTCATCTAACTAGATTCGATTAAATGACTTATATACGTTTTAAATCTCATTATCTTAAGGTGCATCGTGAATTAATATTCCGTGTTTATGTCATCCATGAGTGAGAGTGCGATGGAGAAATATGATATTTTATTACTTAGGTATTGACGAGGTCGTCAAAAGCGACGATGAATCTGCACTACCACTAGGTCCGATTACTTGAAACCATGCCAAGAAGTTTCAAACTAATATTATGGCATTAGTTCTACACTTGGAAGAAGAGAACATGCATAAAGTTAAGCATGGAGGCTAATGTGAAGAGCGTTGTCAACATTGGAGTGCATCCATGATTCATGCACTTCATTCCCTTGAAGACCACAATTTATAACACCCGTTAGAGTTGCTACTCACATCATTACCTACCCATGTGGGATAAGAGGTGTTTTATTTTATTTAATAAGGTGAGCCCCTTCAATATAATTAATTAGACCTCTCTTTTTTACTTAATTAGTGGGATATAAATAATGTATATTTTTGTCCCACATTGGTTGTAGAGTCTTTTGCCAAGCTAGCCTCCCCTATAAATAAGGCACTTGGTTTCACTTGTTATACCTTGAAACTTATATCAATTAAAGTTTTTCTCTTTATTCTATTATATTGAAATCAGTGTGTGAGCGAGGGTTACCCTTGCATACGCGTATCATTCTCAAATCGGGTCCTTGGGTTGATTCCTTGGGTTCGTGGCTTCCGAAACCGACCGGAGTTTCTAGCCAAATCGTTTGAGTCTCCATTGGTTTACAGGTGTTGGGTCTAGACAACGCTTGAGTTCACATCCGATCGATTGACGAATCGGACACCGGTAATATCTTTTTTTTTTGTTTTACTTAGTTTTCATTTGAATTTAGTTTTAAGTTTTGGTTAGTATTGTATAGTTACTTGGGCTGCGTCAGGTATTAAAGAAAATTAAACATTGCGAGTAATTGAGAATTGAACCTTGCGAATTAACTACTAATTGAGAAATATGATATTTTTAGACTTGAAATTAGAAGAAATTCGCACGTTTCATATGAAACAACCAAATGAACCAACTACCGACTTTATGTTGTCCATCTAATGTCATTTAGGGCCCCAAAAATTTTAAACAAAAAAAATGTAAATTCATTTTTAGAATTTGAATTGAATGAAACTTGCACGGTTTATCCAAAACAATAAAACATAAACCCATTTTTAGACTCGCAATTAGACGAAATTTGCACGGTTAATTCGAAACGACCAAACGAACCAACCAACAATATTTTCTTGTCAATCATAGGTCATTTTGGGTCTTAAAAACCCTAAATACTAAAAAAGTATAATCACTTTTTAGACAAGGAATTGAACGAAATTCGCACTGTTCATCAGAAACGAGCATACGAACCAACCAACAAAATTTTTTTATTAGTTCTAGGTTGTTTAGAGCTCAAAAAAGCCAAAATGATAAATATATATATAAATTAATTTTTAGACTCGAAATTGAAAAATTATTAGTCTTACCTTTTCATTCATTTTAGAAAAATAGATCTCACATGCGTTATTTTTTTGCAATTTTCATCCTCTACTCGCACGTCAAGTTAATGATGGTGTCGGTGCGAGTGAGCTTGTGCTACAAATGACGAAAATCGCAAAATAATGACACTTGTAAAATATATTTTGTCAGAGTGATAATTAAAACGTAAGAATGATAATTAGTCTTAACTACAGGAAATTTATTGTAATTTTCTCCATAAATTTATCTTATCAGACCACATTAAAAACATAATAGCATTATTGTAAGTAGTTCATATTAAATTTGGATCGCTTATCTGCACTTCAACTTGGTGGGTCCAATTGTTACTGCATCTAACTCCAAAATTGTTGGGCTTTTGTGTCGATGTTGGACTTGGGCTATACGTTGACTCGACCCACCAAGATTCGTATAAATACTTTTTTTAGGGTTTTTCTCACAATCGCTTTAATTGTTTTGCGCCGCTCATACCTCCTTCCTATTAATATTCTCTCATTCATCAATTATTCATCACATCCATGTTTTTTTCTTTTTGTTTTTCTATTCTTTGTCTCTCCACAAGTTTCTTCTCGGTGTTACATGGCTCGTAATGATGTGTTCTACACTCTGGTATGCAATCTCTATTTCGAGCAATAAAATAATATTTGTGTTCCTAATTTATTGTAACAAGTAAGATTGTATTATTATTATCTGTGGTTATAGTTTTATGTTTGTAGTATTTGTTAATTTTGCTATTGTTCTATATAACATTATTGTTGCTTTCATATTTGATATTGCTATTTAATCCTATGTGATAGCTAGTGATTTTATCTATTGTTTTACGTCAAGTTGTATATCAATTAATGTTGAATAAAACGTCAATGAATATAAGTACTATTCTTCATTCAATTTTATTCAACTTGTAAATTTTTAGATTGACATTTTTCAATAGTTTTCGATTAGAATCAAATCGAAATTTCAAATTACTATTTTTATTTGATTCTGATCTTAGTTTCTACATTTTTCGTTCAAATTTTTTATTTTGGCTGTTCATTACTTTATTCATCTATATATGTGTTTATTATTCAATTTTAATTTTATTTTGAATTTTGATTATTTTTATTGAGACTATAGATACATATTTGTATATTTTTTTCTTTGATATATTTTTATTCATATGTTATTACATACGGTTAAAAAATTATTATATAATTTTGTAAACTTAAATAAAACTATATAATGATAGTAAACTTAAAATTCTACAATTTTTAAAATGTATTATTGTATTTGTTCGTGGATTTCAACGTTAAATCTCATTTTTAAAAAAAATAATTTATATCAAATTTTATTTTTATTTTTATATTATACTAAAAATAATTATATATTAAAAAAATATCAAATTAATATATATTTATATCATATAAAAATAATTATTTTAATTTACTCATTTCGTCCTAATTTAAAGTACAATTTTTACCATTTTCGTCCGTCCCACTCAAAATTATCTTTTTTTACTTTTAGTAAAATTAATCGTACCAAAATACTCTTAAAATTTATTTAAATTACAAACATATCATTACTCAAGTCAACTAATCAATAAAATAATATTTTTTAATTTACTACTAAATCTCAAAAGACCCTTTCAAAAAGGGCCAGAAGAAGTATATTTTTACTATTATCAACTTCAAGTCTATAATAAAAAACTTCACATGTCAAAATCTTTTTAACGGATGGGTGCTTTTTCAAACAAACCTCAATATTTTATATAAAAGTATAAGTATTTGATATATACTATTAAAAAAAATTACTCTTTTCCTATTTAAATTTTTTTTATTTTTTTATTTTTACATTTTTTAAAGATATTCTTATTTTTATTTAGTAAAAAGTAATATAATCTTATTTATTTTTTATTATAAAAAATAAAAGATAATGTAAACTACATATTTATATTCTCAAAATTCTAAATGTAATTTTTTTGGCGAAGCATATATATAATAATAATAATAAAACAAATTTAAATATACAGAACTAAAAATATAAGTTTATTTGGTTATAATTTAAAAATAAAATATAATTTGATTTTTTATTTAAATAATAATTTGATGAGATATTTTATAAAAAAATAATATATTTTTATTACAAAATTATAAAAATATAAATTGTATTTATTTCAGTTCGAAATAAGAAAAAAAACATACCTTATTAAAAAAACTAAATAAATAAAAATAATCACAATATATGAATACTATAGAAATGATATTTTTATTTTTATTTTTATTTTTAGATAGAAATAATTTTTTATATTATATACGAATTGTTTGTATGATAATATAAGAATTCTTTATATTGAATTATTAATAATTATAAAAATATAAAATATATATTATACACGTTATGTAAGAATATATAAATAATTATTTAATAATATTAATAAAAAATATGCCATAATTATTTGTAATTAATAAACATATTTTTTATTATTATAATAATAATTATTATTATTATTATTATTGTTAAGAATATATATATATATATATATATATGCAGGAGAAAAGTTAGGGCAGGGAAGGAAAGGAGTGGAAGAGAAGGTCACAGCACGCGCTAGAGAGAGAAAGAGTTTGAGAGCGAGTGAAGGGGACTGTTGAAGAAGAGCGAGTGGAACAAACAAAACAAACCCTAATCTCCCTCCCAATTTGGGGCTCGACTCGCCCCAACCCTCGCGTGGATTTGCAGCTCCCTCTCTCTCTCTCTCTCTCCCTCACGATCCCATTTAAATTTCCATTCAAATCTCACAGGTATGTATGTTTGTGTATATGTATATATGCTTTCTTCCTACTCAACGACCGCCCCCTTCATCTCTCTCGTCCTTTGACCCTTCCCCGTTGAATTCGATGGATTCTTGCCTGGATTGTTTGTTGTTTTAAGAGGGTTTTTTTTATTCATCCCTGTTGGCGATTATTTGGGGGTTTTCAGATTAACTGTAGTCGGAATTATTTTTGTCGCTCTCTTATCTAGATTGAATCGATTTGTTTTTGTTTTTCTGTTTCTTGTTTCTGTGTATTTTTCATGAGGAGGCATATCGCCCTTGGTTTTTCTTTTGAGGTGTTAGTATTAAGAAACATTTGTTTATAGTGTAGTGCTTGTTGCTCTTTCAATTTTTGTGGGTTATTGGTGAAAAAGGTGGTGCTGATTGATATTTGTATTGATTTTGTGTTGGAGTGTGTTTGGAATTGAGGATTATCAATGGACAAACGATCAATTTCAAACTAATCAATCACATGTTTGTGGGGTGGATATTTAGTAAGCAAACTATTAATGTCAAAGAGAGGTCACCATATCCTTGATGCTGAATTTCTCCAGTCCTTAATGTTGCTGCTACGATGAATTTGAAAAAATGAATGGAAAAACCAAATTGTTGTGTGGTGTGAGTGGAAGTTGAGGGACACAGATTACTTCTTTTTGAGAGTTGGCTTTAAGATCAATCCATGTACATGTGGATAGATGACAGTAGAAAATCTTGTTTTGTTCTCATTAACAAATAATCTTTATTTTGTTATCTTGTTATTGATAGTTAAGTGACAAGAATTTACAGCTATGCTTTGCATGACTAAAGTAGTTGTTTGTTGCTACTATTCCTTGCTTTTTACAAATCAGTTAGTAAATGAAAATTAAATAAAGGCAGTTGTTATCTTGTCATTGATAGTTAAATGACAAGAATTTACAGCTATGCCTTGCATGACTAATATAGTTGTTTGTTGCTACTATTCCTTGCTTTTTGCAAATCAGTTAGTAAAAACAAATTAAATAAAGACAGTGTAATTGAATGAGTCCCAGTTAAGTTTTTACATACCAAATTTTTATAAACGCATTTTCTAGTAGAGACAAACTAAGATGTTATTTTCTTATATGGACACAACCCTTGTGTCAAGGATAACTTTACAGTTAAAAGTAGTTATGTATCTAATTTTCAACAATGCTTTAAGTGGTGGAATGAAGCTGGAAAAAGTTATACCAGACTCAATTCCTTGAAGTTAGAACCAGATAGTTTGTGGTAGTTGGTTGGGAAACTGTGAATACAAAGGGAGATCATGAGTTCTGTTCTTAACTGTGGGTGGTGGGACCACTTTAAAAGATCTATGTCAGAACTGCATCTAAGTAAGAGTTTAGACTGTGTGGGGTGCAGCTTGGCTGAATTCGATTAAGTATGGGTTATGGGTTGTGATAGGTTCAACACCAATTACTAGATCTGAAAAATAAATGAAAGTTTAGTAGACACCTCTTTGTAAATATTTTATCTTGTTAATGTGCGGGTTGTGATGTATCATATATGATATAAAGGTTTCCTGAAATGGCATACATGGCTTAAATATACTATTCATCCCATTTCTTCCCCCCCCCCCAATATCAAATCAAACACCTATTTTTCATTTTTTATATTATACTAAAAATCAATTTTACATTCAAAACATCACATCAACACATATTTATATCACATCATACAACTATTCAAATTCAAAATTTTTACTATTCAAATCCCAATTCAAAATCCAAGAAACAATAAAAGGGGAAGGATATTTAAATCTCTGCTATTCATAATGCAGATGGAGTTAATAATATATTTCTAAGTTATAACAATTGAATGTGAATTGGGATTGGAGGGCTACACATCTAAGAAGAACAAAACTTTGAGTCTTTACAGCTCTGGGGTACTTTGTCCTAAATATTACGTTTGTGTTTCCAGTATTCGCTTTTGGTAGATGCTTCCAACGCCTATGTTTTTAACATGTTTTGGGAAAATTGATTCACTATTGTTGTTATCATGTAAAACATGAGTAGTTTGAGAAAGATGAATGGATCCATTACCATATTGATTTTTATTATTAGGAGGAATGCTATCATCATGGATTTCATGGCATAGCTAAGGTAACTAATGTGAGCCGGTTTTTACTTAGAAGATACATTTTGTTAAAAAGTATTCAAAAGTAATTCTTAAACCCAAATGCCAAATCCTCTGGACATTATGTAAATAGGCTTGGAAATTGCCTAATTTTGGGTTAAGATCTAAAATGAAAAATGAGTAATTGACTATCTCACTAAAAACTTTAGCTAGTAGGGATATGCATAATTAATTTACATATGTCATACAACAAAAAACAATTTAAATTTCTGTGAAAGCAACTTCTATTTCTTGTGCATAGGAGCTGATATCCTTGTTTTTCTATTTCAGTTAGAAGTTGGAATATAAAAAAAGGCTGAAAGAAAATAGATTGCTTCCATGGATATAGATCTTAGGTTACCTTCTGGAGAACATGACAAAGAAATAGAAGAATCTAATGGACTAGTCAATATGCTAGATGGTGAAGAGAAACCCCTCACTGTAGATGCAGTTGGTGTAAGTATGGTGGCCGTCGAGGATAAGTTACACCTTGACGATGGAGAGGATGACAACTCTCTCCTACATGATATCGATTTCAAGGATGTGACAATTCTTGAGCCACTCCCTGGAATGGAATTCGGATCTCATGGAGATGCTTATGCTTTCTATCAGGAATATGCTAGGTCTGTTGGGTTCAATACTGCAATACAGAACAGTCGGCGCTCCAAGACATCGAGGGAGTTCATTGATGCTAAATTTGCATGCTCAAGATATGGTACAAAACGTGAGTATGAGAAATCTCTAAACCGTCCACGGAGTAGGCAAGGAAGCAACCAGGATGCCGAGAATGCTACTGGTCGGCGGGCATGTGCAAAGACAGACTGCAAAGCAAGCATGCATGTCAAGAGAAGATCTGATGGGAAATGGATAATACATAGATTTGAGAAAGAGCATAACCATGAGTTGTTACCTGCCCAAGCTGTAAGTGAGCAGACAAGAAGGATGTATGCTGCAATGGCCAGACAGTTTGCCGAATATAAAAGTGCTGTTGGTCTTACACACGACTGCAGAGGTCAATTTGAGAAGGGAAGGAACATGGCGATGGATGTGGGTGAGACTAGCGTTATGCTAGATTTTTTTGTCCACATGCAGAGTCTGAATTCGAACTTTTTTTATGCTGTTGATGTTGGTGAGGATCAGTGCATTAAAAATCTCTTGTGGGTGGACGCCAAAAGCAGGCATGATTACCCCAACTTTAGCGATGTAGTGTCTTTTGATACCACTTACGTGCGAAACAAGTATAAAATGCCTCTTGCTCTTTTTGTTGGGGTCAATCAACACTGTCAGTTCATGCTTCTCGGATGCGCTTTGTTGTCTGATGACAGTGCGCCTACTTATTCGTGGGTTATGCAAACGTGGCTGAAAGCAATGGGCAGTCAAGCTCCGAAAATTATAATCACTGATCATGATTATGATATGAAGACTGCAATAGTGGAGGTTTTTCCATCAGCTCTTCATTTTTTCAATCTGTGGCACATTATGGGAAAGGTTTCAGAAACATTGAGTCATGTGATCAAACAGAACGAACAATTTATGCCTAAATTTGAGAAATGTGTCTACCGGTCATGGACAGATGAGGAGTTTGAAAAGAGGTGGCATAAGCTGGTGGACCGCTTTGGACTAAAAGATAATGAGCTGTTCCAAATTTTGTATGAAGATCGTTTTAAATGGGTGCCCACCTTTATGAAAGATGGATTTTTTGCTGGAATGTCTACAGGTCAACGGTCAGATAGTGTGAACTCTTTCTTCGACAAGTATGTGCATAAGAAGACGACTGTGCAAGAGTTTGTAAAGCAGTATGATGTAATTCTGCAAGATAGGTATGAAGAGGAAGCCAAGGCATCTTCCGATACTTGGAACAAACAGCCCGCTTTGAAGTCTCCATCACCATTTGAGAAGCACATGGCCGGGCTCTATACTCATGCGGTGTTCAGGAAATTTCAAGTCGAAGTTTTGGGTGCTGTAGCTTGCATTCCCAAGAAGGAGGAAGAAGTTGATGCAGTAGTCACCTTTAGAGTTGAAGATTTCGAAAGGAATCAAGAATTCATGGTCACATTGAATGAACTGAAATCTGAAGTTTCCTGCATATGCCGGTTGTTTGAGTTTAAAGGCTTCCTTTGTAGACATGCTATGATTGTTCTTCAAATTTGGGGCATCTCTGCAATCCCGTCCCAATATATTTTGAAACGGTGGACAAAAGATGCAAAGAGCAGATATATGATGATTGAAGGCTCTGAACAGATGCCATCAAGGCTTCAAAGATACAACGAGCTTTGTCAAAGAGCATTGAAGTTGGGGGAAGAAGGATCCTTGTCACAGGATAGTTACAATCTTGCTGTCCGTGCACTTGATGATGCCTTTGAGAATTGCTTGAATGCTAACAACTCCAATAAGAATCTTCTAGAAGTTGGCCCTTCTGCCTCTCCGGGCATTCTGTGCATCGAAGACGACATTCAGAGTGGAAGTTTGAGCAAGACAAATAAAAAGAAGAACCCAACCAAGAAAAGAAAGGTTTCCATGAGTCTAAGTGAGAACCCCTTTTCTTTTCCGATCCATGGATTTAGAAACTGCAATATTTATTTTGTAGGTGAGCATGGAACAAGAGGTTATGACTGTCGGCACGCCAGAGAGCTTGCAACAAATGGTTCGTTCTTTATAAAAGTTTGGATTTACTTTATGACTGTCCTTTACTACTCAGTTTTTGCGTACATAGTTTGAGTTGTTTCTTTCCCTGAAGTTAATGTTTTGATTTCAAAAAGTATTCAGTTATATATCAGCTAATGATACACAAAATTTAGTCTGAAGTCTGTTGATTTAGGCTGTTAAAATTAATGCAGACTGTTTCTTGAGACTACATATTCCTAAGCATCTATGTCTGTTATGTTCCTAAGCAAAAACTTCAATGATTGTGAAATCATAGGACAAACTTTGTATATTATTGCAACTAATTTCTTAGTGTAACCGAAATAGTAGTTAACACGTTTTGTGGGACTAGGAGTGCAATCTGCTTAACCCCGCATGGGTGACTTAGTGGTGTGAGGATTGGACCCGTGACCGTGAAGTTCTAGGTTCAAATCCTCTACACACTACTTGATTTTATCTGCCCCACATGGTTTGCGAAGTGTGACTTTTCTTACTGGCTTGGGTTCCCATATAAAAATGCTATTAGCCTCTACTTAGATTTGTGAGCGAAAACTTGAACTATAGTTTAATACTAGCTATGATGCACAAAGTAAGGAGTATTATATTATGGAATATGTTTTGCCAATAATTACAGTTTCTTTCCAAACTACACTGACACTGCAGTTTGTTGTTCTAATCATTCATTTAAACGTGTAGGAGAAACTAAGTTCCCGGCCTATGAATCTTGATGGATTTTTTGCTCCACAACAAGGCGTGCAAGGAATGGTAAGGGCCATAAACATGATCATGCTAAAACAAACATATTCCAATTTCCAACTATGTTAGTAACTTGCCCTGTATTTTTGGTAGGTCCAGTTGAACCTAATGGCTCCTACTCGCGATAATTATTACGGGAACCAGCAGACTATACAGGGACTAGTACGTCACTAATCATGAGTATAAGAAATATTACATATCTGTTTTATGGATTCTGTTGTGTTAAAGTGGTACCTGATGTGATGGTCTTCCTTAGGGCCAGCTGAACTCTATTGCGCCGACACATGATGGTTATTACAACACTCAACAAGCCATGCAGGGATTGGTTGGATTTTATTTTTTTTTAGTTTATATCTTCACCATTACATTTCCTATGTTCATTGCACAATTGTTTATTTGTGTTTGCACGTTTGATCCTGCAGGGACAAATGGACTTTTTCCGCACTCCAAGTTTCAGCTTTGGTCTTCGGGTTAGTTTTTTCTGGATGACTTACTGATTATTCAGTTTCTGCATTTTCACCTACAACTTATCGGCATTATGCTGCCCCATTAGGATGATCCAAATGTGAGATCAGCGCAGTTGCATGACGATGTGCCAAGACATGCTTGAACTTTATTGCCGTTAAGGTGGGTATGTTGCGATACATGGCTATTGTTATAATTTTTAAGCCTAGTGATCAAGCAACGTGATTATTTTTTTGTCGAGTCAATGTAGTTGTAGTGTTGGAATCTACCCAGCTGGCTAGAGCTACGACAATTTATCACATATACTCTTTACTTAAGTAGTTTTGCGTGGTTTTCTCGCGTCATTAAAATTTTGTTTGCTATCTAGTGTTGGAATTTGGGATTTTTCTGGCTGTTTTGTTTGGTTCGGGTAAGGTATTATTGCAATTGCCTTGAATTTAGTTCTCTCGAAGCATCCACTCACGCATCTTGCTCGGCTATTGCTTGCAGGGGAGTGGCTAAGATCCTTGTTGTCAGACTTGCATTTGTTGATACAAAGCACTACTACTGTGATGTGGCTGGTTAAAATATACCGAAGAGACGAGAAGAAAAATCGTGTGTTTATTGATTGTAAAGTCGCTCTTCTTTTATACAACTTTATTTGTTTGTTCGCTGGCTGGCTCGCCCGATACGCTTGCTTTGCTTGTCTTGATCTTTTTTATGATGGTTTTGCTGTTGTAGTTGATCATGATCAGTGTATTGCTAGTTAAAAATGTAACTACAGTTCTAGGGAAATCCTTTGCACCGTTTTGTCCTCTGGCCAATATGTTGATGTTTTGCTTGTTTGTTTGTTTAGACTTTTAGGATTGATTGGTTGCTGAAAAAGATCAACTAAGTACCGTGTGTAAATTAGTATTTGATAGAGTTGTTAACGAGCCAAACTGAATAGAATTATAAGTGTTTATGTTTGTTCGTTGATATTTGCGAACAAGGTTTGTGTTCTATCGTGAAAGCATTCAAGCTCGTTCTTGTTCGAGTTTGGTTCATTAAGTAATTATGTTATTCGAGATCGTGTTCGTGTTCAACTCGAATAAGTTCGATTGGGTCTGTTTGAGTTCATTTGTATAGGTGATATTTTAACATTTTAAAAATTCATATATATAATATTTTATTTTATTTTATTATTTTAATTATAATTTTATATGTTTATTTTTTAACGAACATTCGTCAACAAAATTCAGATTCATTCGTTAACAAAATGAATTTATTTATATTGGTCGGTTCGATTTATTTACTTTCGCAAATTTTTCATATCAAATTGACCCAAAATATCGGGAGGGGATCCTCAGTATCACCCAGGGGATGATGCCGAGGATCCCCTCCCGATCCGGCCCAGTATCAACTTCATCATCTATCTTTCGAAACAATTTTCTTCTCAAGTTATTGAAATTTAAAAAATGGTGATAAAAGTCGACATTGGTCATTGAAATGGCATCGTCAGTTGATTGTCCTGACCACTTAACCAGAAGTTGGTCATCATGCGCAACCTGTTCGTCGCTAACATTTCCTCCGGCTTGAGTCTCTCTCTACCTAATGGTCCTCTACGATACGGCACAGCTAAGAGACATGGGGTCGTCCCAAGAGCGGTTGTATACCGGGATGTAATCGAAGAAGACCAGCTCAAACTTTATGTTATATATTTTGAAAAAATAAAAGTAGATTGATAAGAAAACGTATTTATGCATACGTAGAGTTGTTAAACGAATTAATCTTATTTAACTCGATTCAACTCAGTTTGAGATCGTTCACAAATATAAACAAATCGAATCTAATAACATAAAAAATAGGTTTATTTCATTAACGAACAAGTCCGAGTCTTGTTCGTGAATATCCAGTAAAAAAAAATATATATATATATGTAAACTAAAATTAAATATCATGCGCATCTAAATCAAATTTTTACGTTGGAAAGAGTGGGGGTTAATTCTGGGACTTTTTGGCCTTCCTTTGGGCCCTCTTCTCTCTTGAGGTCATGAATCTACCATTGTTATTGTTTCCTTCTTCCCTTTCCTCATACTCCTTCACTGATTTCTGCATACACACATTATATATATATATATAGATAATAGATATAGAGAGAGAGAGGAGAGAGAGAGAGTAGAGAGAGAGAGGTACCTCTCTGAGCTCATTAAAACTAACAGCATAGAAAGTAAGAGCAGCAGCTGCAACAATTCCCAGCAATGGCACACCTATCTGCTCAATTCCATCCATCCTCTCTTTTCGCTCTCAGTCTCTCTCTAACCAGATAAGATAAGATACACGATATATATATATGGATGGATATTTATATTTACGCCCCTCTAATTCTGCCTAATTACAAGATGCCCCATTTATTTTATTCATCACCTAAAATTATATTCCTCCCTCTTTCCTGTTAAAAGGTTACAATTTTCTAATTGTAGTACCTATCTAACATAATAAATACTCTTTCAATAGGGTATTTTTTTTTTTTTTTACTATAATCCAATATAATATTAATATTCAAAAATCTATGCAAAAACAAATATTACCCTCCCAATGGAAATGTGGGAGTATTATTTTTTATTATTGTCCACTAAATTTATTTATAGTAAATAATTTTATTTATTCAAAGTTTTATCATTTTTATTTTAACTAATAATAATTAATTTGATACTATTTTTTTATTGACTCCATTACATTTTTATTAATATTTTAATAAATTTTTCATAATATTCTCATTTTATTTATTTTTTTTATAATTTTAATATTAAAATATTATTTTTTTTTAATTTTTGTTTCAAACAAATCTATATAATTTTCTCAGAAGACGGAGTAAAATTATTCATCTTCAACCAGTGTAGGTGAATGAAGTAGGGGTTGAGGGTAGAACCTTATTTGAACTGAGTCGTGTTAGAATATCATATTTTCAAATTTAGTTTTTTTTTTTTTTTTTTTTTCCAAATCTTTTTAATAGTTATTTTCAAATTTAGTTTGAGTTAAGCTTTTATCAACTTGTTAGATTTTTTTTTTTTACGAGGGTGTTTAGGAAATAGCTTTAGACCCAAAAGCTAATTTTTGAAAATATATTTTTAAATAGCTTTTTCACTTTAATTTTATTTATTTTTTATTTATCTTTAAAAATTATTTATTTATTTTATGCATATAAATATATTTTAATTGTAGTATTTATTAATAATTTTTAATATATTTAATTTATTAAATTATAAATTATGTTTGTAAATTTAAAATAATTAGTATTATTAATTATTACATATAAATTTTTTTATTTGTAAAATATATAAATTTACTAATATTAAATCAAATAGAAAAGACAAATATTTAATTTATTTATAAATTTTTTATTATATAAATTTTACGTTAAGATTTAATAAACAATAATTATCAAAATAAATATATATATACATAAAATTTATTGTTTTATATTTACACAATTTTAATAAAAAACTATAATTGTTTTTTAATAAAAATAATTTTTTCAAATCTAAAATATAAAAATAAAAATTTTAGAATATTTTTATGATTTTCAATAATAATAACAAAAATTCTTATAATTTTTAAATTAAAATGAAAAAAAATTAAATATTTTAATAAATAATATATCAATGTCAAACCAGCTAATTGTTAAACAGACCCTAACACAAATTAATATAGCTTATGTGAAAATATGTTCGCTTTTTGTTTTTAAATTAATGTATTATTTATCTTAGATATAAAAAAAATTATCGATAATCTTTTTATTTAATTTTAACTTTTCTAATTATAAATTATGTATTGTATTAGTATATTATATTTTTATAATATTTACCAAGAAATATAATAACCAAAAAATATAAGAGGACAAAAAAAAAAGAAAAAAAAATGAAACAGAAAAACACCAAAATAAATAATAATAAAATTACAAATCAAACACATCCTCCATAATTTATTTTCCATGTACACAATCTCATTATTTCATAGCATAATAAAATCAAACATACGAAACACACCACACCCATTATCTTCTCATCTGCCGTCCACAAAACTCTCCATCCAACAAAATTTCAACTTCTCAATATTTTCCCTTGGACAATTTGTAACTCTTCGTCCAAAAGAATACTCGGTAACAATTCATAAAATATTTATTATAATGAAATGAAAGCCAATACTTGTATACCTCAAGAGATGTAGGGAAATTATTCAACCAAGCCTTGGATTAGAATCTCTAGAATTTGATACTAGCCGAGCCCACGAATCATCACCGAATCGAATAACACAAGCCTGGATGCAAACACACCAAAGTATGTCGGCACCCAAGCAAATGATATAGGGGATTCATCTCATACTGCTTCCTACCAAACCAAAACTGAGTCGAAATAGATATAGAAAACCGGAGGTTGATCTCAACTAGGTATGCTGCCGGCCACAGCAGTGGCCGACTCCTTCGGAGAAACATCACCTTTGTCAAGGGATTCCCAATCCAATTCCCCGAGAATTTTGAACCTCTCATCCAATGGCACAAACCCAGTGTGATGTGCTGCTATGGCATCACATTTTCCAGCTTTATAGATCAGAAGCAAACTCTCTCCCATTTCAGGACCGTGGAGTTTTCCAGTCAGCAAAACTCGAAGTGGCATGAACAGAGATTTTCCCTGCAACCAGACACACATATATATATATATATATATCAGATGTCGCAATAATAATCCTTTCATCCTTTAAGTATATATCCGTTTGGTTTTTGCATGGAATTTAAGGTATATTAATATTATATTGAAATATACTAGGAATAAAGTAGAAATAACTAAAATAACCTTATTAGTATTATGTGATATAAAGGTAACGACATTTGTCTAATATAAGTTGTAAGGGTATTCGTAATGTTAGGTAGATAGTACAGTTACTTTAAAAAATAGATATTTTGTTATGGAACGGACCAAAATGAAAAGATGGATAGTTTGTTAAGGAACGGAGAGAGTATATGTTATGGATGCTTTATCAATGGAACAAACCTTGCGTTTCTGTGCTTTGCCGAAGCTTTTCACCCATTTCTGCCATCCAGCGCTACCTTCCTCAAGGGCACTAATAAACTCGCCACTATCGTAAGCAGCAAGTAAATATGCAGCAACTTCTGACAGCTTATCTTCTAATATAGCTTTACCTTCAGGACTGCAATTACAAAACATCTCATTCTGCTTGCTACAAACTACTGTGATTTACAGGAATAATTCCAATTATGATTTCCAAGGACCTTCCAGGACTTGTGTATCCAATAGTAACAAGAAAACTACATTGTCGTGACCAGCTAAAGATGATTGTTGGATAAAAAGCAATAACTACACTCATATTACAGGGAACTCCATGTCCCAAGCTGTACTGTCTAAATCCTAATGATCCAAAATAGTCGAAACAAAATGCTTGGTCAAGTATTAAAACCAAGATCATAGTGTAAATACAAAGAATTTGAGGACTCGTACTAAAATGCATAATAACATGAAATCATAGAACGCTTGAATGCCCTCATGTATAAGCCCTTCAGAGTAATATACTATTCCCTCTATCAACCAAATCTATGTCTGTTTCTCTCTTTTTAAGTATGAACTTTCTATTTATAGCAATAAGTCTTACATATTTCTTAATATATACTCTTCCAAGTTACACTTATTTAAAAATAAGTGTAGTGGTCAACATCTAAAATGCTATAGCAGGATAACGGTATGACCGTTTATTAACTTACTCGTATAATTTCTAAAATATTATTACTTCATATCACAATCCATAGTTGTCACTCCCCGATAGCAATGTGCAGTGGTCAATATCTAAAATGCTATAGCAGGATAGCAGTATGACCGCTATTTTAATATTTACGAATATGTATATAAATTATTATATATACAAAATTACAATAAAAATACATAAAAAAAACCTATAAATTAGTCTTATAATTATCATTCAAACCAATAAAATGTCAAAAAAAAAAAAATGATTATAACTGTTAGATAGTTACATAAGAAAAAATTATTAGATAACTATTGTGTGATAGATACATATGTCAAAGCTAATCGGATTCAAAGTTTGATAAGAATTTTCTCATTTTCGTCATCCTCACTATTTAATTACTATCATCTATATATTCTTCCTCCTCTTCTTCATTCTCATCCATTTATTCTATTGTATCTCTGTCACCTTACATAGTATTATTTCCCTTTTTAGAGCTAGAAGTACCTATAGCTTTCTTTTTCATTGATGTATTGACGTTTGCATCTCAGTGTAGGAAACAGGCCCGTTAGTTCCAGAAGCATTAACAACTCCACCAGTCAAATTATCACACTAATCCATCATCTGCAATTATCAACTTCTTTAACTAACCACTCATTAGAATCATCAATATCGTTCAAAATAATAGGACCAATCACATTATTGCTACCATAAAGATCTAACAAATTTTTATTATAATTGATATAAACTAAATCTTGAAACTTTTGGCTTTCTAATTTGTTTCTTTTCTTGAAATAAATCTAAAGATTTAGTTAAGATTTAAGATTAAAAAAAAAAAAGTACATTTTATAAGTTAAAATTGAATTTCAATTATTTATGTAAAAATAACCCAATGAGCTACAATAGCGGTGTGGTGTAGCGTAGCAGAATGTCGCTATAGGTCGCTATGTCACTATCGCGGAATTGCAGAGCCGTAGCAGCAGACTGCCTCTCCGCTACGCTACGTTGCTATTGCGGCGCTATAGCGCGCTATTGACAACTATGTCACAATCAACTAGTATAATACTCCATCGATTCAAAGTATCAATTATATCATTTTCGCTCGTACTACTCAAAAATATTATTTTCTTATTTTAGTAAAAGTAATCATACATTAGTATCAAAATACCTTAACTTTTTACCTAAATTACAAACATGCCATTACATATACAATTAATTTATATATAAAATTAAGCAAGCGCAAAAATATAAAAACTTCTTACACCCTTATACTAACCAATAAAATACTATTATTTTCTAATCTACTACAAAATCCCAAAGAGCCCCTTTAAAGTGGAACGGAGGGAGTAATATATTCATTAAATCCTGTGTCTAGCTCAAATAATTCATTAATAAAAGTAATCATACACTAATACTAAAATACCCTTAACTTTTTACAAAAATTACAAATATACCATTACATATACAATTACTTTATATATAAAATCAAGGACAAAAATATAAAAACTTCTTACACCCTTATACTGACCAATAAAATACTATTATTTCTTAGTCTACTATAAAATCCCAAAGAGCCCCTTTAAAGTGGAACGAAGAGAGTAATATATTCATTAAAATCTGTGTCTAGCTCAAATAAGTGGGTAAAACCATCGCATATAACATGGGAGTAGAAATAAGAGAATTGACGAGACCCATTTAAGATCAAACAGCTAACTAATGGGTTCCAAATTACCTAGTGAGTGTTGTGTGTAAAGGATAAGACAATAGGTTTGAGATAGCTTTGTCCGCATCTGTTATCACATCAATCCCATCCTTTAGTAGATGGACAGCCTCCTGGTCACAGAAATTAAGAATGGTATATATGAATGATTTAATGTCATTTCTTAAAGCAAAAAAAAAAAAAAAAAAAAAGAAAAAAAAGGAAAAAGATGTCGTTGAAAGTGAATCATATGGCTGGTTTATGTGATAATCTCATAATACAGTGGCAGCTTTTCAAGAAGTGAAGGACGCTGAACATCAGTTTAATCAAGAAATGCTCTCCCTGAATTTTCTTGGTACCTTTAGGCTTTATAAGTTTCATGTACAGGTTAATACCCATAGGTTTAAATGGCACAAGGTGCGCCCTATAAATAAAAAACAAATAAATACAAAATTATTATATAAATATAATATGCAATTAATATGATATACTTTCAACAAACAAAAAAATCAGTCAAATTTAAGATCAAATATATCAGAAAGGACAATAGTATTAAACTAAAGCTAATATGCCAATATCCAAAACATAAAAAGTCGTAAACATTAGAATCTATATAATCATCTAATACCATCAAGATAGATGCCTATTTATCAGCAACAAAACAATTGCTTGTCACTATATACATGAAAGAAGCATAACAGTAGTTTGCAGAGATATATGTACCTCTATGAAGCTCCCTCCCGACTCAGTGACCACACCAGTGCTCTTCCAGCGGTTACCAATCATTTCTGTTAGATTTTCGGGCGGAAGAGATCTCAAATATTGGCCATTCATCCACCTTTATCATAAGTACATGTTGAGTATACAGTAATAGAAAACAAAACAGGCTCAAAATATATATGCATGAAAGAGGATAAAAAACAACATTATTACTGAAAAATGTCACAATTAACAAAACAATCCCACAAAAAGTTATAGGCATGGCTCAATGCACAAATATCAAGAACCATCAAGTAAACTTTAACTAAAGATGTACAAATACCTTAACTTGGTAGAATCAAAAACAGCTCCAGTTTTATTAACACGCTCAATTGTAAACTTCGAAACTGCAAATAATTTCAGAAGTTGTGCAGTGTTACAAAATAACAACATTACAACCTAAATTAGGATGAAAATCCCATAAAAATAAGGATATTAACTAACCAAGTTCTTCAAGTGTAAAAAATTCATTCTCAGTACCATCACCCCAACCCAACAATGCAAGATAATTCATCAATGCTTGAGGAAGGAATCCCATCTCTTTGAACTGGAAAAAGGGTTTCATAACAAAGAAGGTAGTTCAGGAGAAACTGAATAAATCATGCTACTCTAGACCCAAAATGAAATTTCACAATTATACAAGTCTATCTAAAAATTAAGGAAATGAATGAATGAATGAAGCAAACTCTGCAGTGGATTTACCTGGCCCACTGAAGTTGCCCCGTGTCGTTTTGAAAGTTTGCTTCTATCAGGTGCAAGAATCAAAGAAACATGTGCAAATCTAGGCATTGGAAAGCCCAGAGCCTGGTTTGGGGTAAAACATTTTCTATCTGTGTAAGTTTAATCCTCGGGCCAACATTCTTGGCTCAGATAAGAAAAAAATTATGTCGCAGTTCATAGAACATTACAAAGAGGAAAACAATAATAAACATATTTCAAAGGTACCTTGTATATTAAAGCCTGCCTCAGAGTATTTGGCAAGTGTTCCTCTGCTCTGAAATATTAAACGAAGTCAGGACAGAAACAGCAAGGGCAATTATAGGGGAAATCATAAGTCACGGAATGACCTACACACCTTATAACATGTGAAATAGCCATAGTGGCATCGTCAACCGTTACACAGAAATTGTAAACTGGTTGTCCATTACTTCTCATGATTACAAAATCTCCAAGTGTGTCCAAATTCCAACTTACCTTCATGACACTATCAGCAAAGTTAGTACTGATTCAATGTGATGGTACTGAGATAGTCACAAGCACCGATTAACAGTCAAAAATGTTTAGAAACTGTAATCAATCTAGCACCGAATTAAATATCAAAAAGTATTGGCCATCAAAAGAATCCCAAGGTCAGAACTACTATTTTACATTCATCAAATTTCCCTTTTGCTTGAACACAAGTAGGTTACACTTGTGTCTCAATATCAACTTGGCAGTTGTCATTCTCATTTTCATATGGGTGCACATTGAAATATTTAAATACAAAATTAATATCGCTAAGTGCAAAATGCAATATAAAGCTTTAAAAACCAAATCCCATAACATGACAGTTCACATCAACCACTTGGTCAAAATGCTTCTTATTTTTTTGACAAAATTCACTTGAAACGCATCTCTTTGGGGCATGGCATATAGTATGGTTAAATATGGATTAAAAAATAAGGATTCACTTAAAACGTATAGCTGGAAACTGTTATCTTTCGCAATAAAAATCAATCATATAAATTTGGAAAGGCCAAAGGGTGAAACTCTCATTCACACAAAACTACCGTAAATTGTTTTGCACATTGAAAAAGAAGAGCAAAAATTTCAATGGTAAAGATAAAACAAAAATTTCAAGCAGATTCAAGTAGATTTATAGATTTCACACACTATTAGGGAGTGTTTGTTTGGGGGATTGAATTTTGAATACACTATCCATCCCATTTTTTCCCCCAAAAAAAACATCAAATCAAACATTTATTTTTCATCTTTTATATTATAGTAAAAATCAATTTTACATTCAAAACATTACATCAACACCTATTTATATCACATCATACAACTATTCAAATTCAAAATTTTTACTATTCAAATCCCAACTCAAAATCCAAACCCCCAAACAAACACACCAACTACTGTGTAGATGCAACATTGATAGTTAGCAAAAGGACCTCTCCAAGTTCTCCAAGGAAAATGTCGCATTCCAGCAGTTTCATACTCAACTAATAACAAAAGTAGTATATTGTTTTTACAGAAAAGCACATTCATCCTATGACGAATGAACAGTCTTCCAATGCAACTCCCTTGTAACGAGTCCTCTTCCAAGACAACATGGTTTGAAACATGGTCAGGCAAAAGCATAATCCAATTCACTATCACTACTTTTTGGTGAACAAATCCAACATTCAGACAGTCTTTTATACCTGTAGTTCATTAATAACAAATTGACTAGTAATCATAAACCTATAATAACATATGCACATAAGATATTACATGTTATCATATCTGAACAAACTCAAATCAGATGCATAGAAAATTGGCAGGTATCTTGTTCGCACAGAAGTCCCAAATTATATATCTTGAAGCTATACAAAAAAAGTATTAATTTATTAACAATATGGTTTACTAGCAAAGTAGCAATAAACTGAAAAAGGAAATAAACAAAACAACATTTATAAACACTGTCAAATCTGCCAATCTATACCTCACCACGAATGAGATCACTGATACTCAAACTTCCAGTCTTTGGAACTCTAAACCGATAAGTATATGGTGTTCCCTTTGATAACTCCTCTTCTACTTCCAAATCTGAGGCACTGGCCCACTTGCCAGAGTAGACAGGAGGCAGTTGCTTCATTTTGGCAATTTCTTTCATCTTTTCCAGCTCCTGAAAATAATAAACGATTTGACTCACCAATATGCTGTATACGATAGAATGAGCTTTCATACCATATAATAAAAGAGGTTTATAATAATTAAAACAAGATTAAAAATCAATAAGAATTTCGAGCCACATAGCCTTTACATTCATCAGTATAATTGACTCTAAAATATTAAATACAAATATTTGAAGTATATAGGTTCCTGCAGCAACATTACACAGAATAAACCCTGTCTTGAATATAATATAATAACTTGATTAAAACAAGAAAATACTTCATCCTAAACCAATGTATATATGCAATTCTTGAGGTGCGGACCAATAATTAAATATAGGGAACATTTCTACAAAATCTCAAAAATCATAAAGAGCACCTCTGGGCACCAAAGAATCCATATAGCTATATTTTTTATGTAAAACTTAAACAACCAACTTTCAATAAAACAATAAAAACTTGGCAACATTGCTTTAACTAGCCTGTAAACTTTGAAACTGATAACTTAGTTATGGAAGCAATCATTGAATCGAGTACTTCCAATGTTTAGATTCCGTCGCCAACTTGATGCTCTGAGATATTAATTTTAATGGAAAATTGAAAGGTCTGTAAAGTGGATTAGCTAACAGTAGATGAAAGTGTAACAATCACTCAAGGCATGACACTGAAAGATTACATCAACAAAACTCTTTGGAGAAGCCTTTTGTTTTCATGAATAAAAAACAGGCTGTTGTTACCTCGTTCGAGCAAAAACAGCGGTAAACATGACCACTTTGCAGCAGTTTATCAGCATACTGCTTGTAGAGGTCATTTCTTTCAGACTGGCGGTAAGGACCATATTTCCCACCAACATCAGGACCTGTATCGAATAAGTTTAAAAGCAATGTCAATAAGAAGAATAATATATACGAATTGTAGGAAGGGTTTGGTTTTTCAACGACTAGGGTTTAACAAAAATCTGAGAGGTATTAAGAGGAAGGAGAAACCTTCATCCCAATCGAAACCAAGCCAGGAAAGATCCCGAAGCAAGGCATCTTCAGACTCCTTCGTCGACCTTTCTAAGTCGGTGTCTTCAATTCGAAGCACAAATCTGCCGCCTCGGGACCTGGCGAACAAGTAGTTGAAGAGGGCGGTACGCGCGCCACCTACGTGAAGATTACCGGTTGGGGAAGGCGCGAACCGCACTCGAATTGATTCTGCGGACGACGGCGGGGATGATACTGAAGCTCTGAAGCGTCTTCTGAACATCCTTCCTCGGAAAAACAGCCTGGACGGAACCGCCGCTTCTGGAATTACATTCAAAGAGATTCCAAGACTCGATGCGCCGAGTAGACAACCCATTGCAGCTGCAGAGGCAGAGGCAGAGGCACCGGCGCTGCTGCTTCTCCGACTGTTATAGATAATGAACAGATTCGATACAAGACGATGAATGTGACGTTTCTTTCAAACGGACCGGTGAAACCCGGCCCGACCGGAGACCAGTCCCATCCGGCCGTAGTTCAAATTGAAAAAACCGGTCGTTAATGGGCGCGCGCTTCTTCTCTGCATCACCATGGATTTGGACCTCTCAGATCGGTGCAGATTCTAATTTTATTTTGACCTTTTTTACAAAAGTAGAAGAAGTGGTTAAATATGACCCTGGCGTTCCTCGAGCTCCTCCCTAAGCATGTCCTCGCAGTCATTTTGATTCGACATTCCTTAAGAATTTTGCTTTGAAACCCCTTATAGAAGATCGGATGATTCCTTTTCGAAATTCTTTCAATTAGTCAAGCCATTAAACACCATCGAAAATCTCGATATTACAATTTCACAATACTAATGAATGTTTGACGAACTCACTTACAATGTAAATAATATACTTCTCCCTCCCATAACAAAGTATCAATTTTTCTATTTTAGTTCGTCCTATAACAAAGTATTCATTTCCTTTTTTTTAGTAACTGTACTATCTACCTAACATTACAAATATCCTTACAACTTACAATATATTACACAAATGTCATTACATTTATATCACACATACTAATAAGGTTATTTTACTCATTTTTATTTTATTCCTACTATATCCCAATATAATACTAATATTTCTAAAACTACGTGCAAAAAACAAATTATTACTTCTTTATGGGACGGAGGAAGTATTAGTTTCAAGTTAAAGTGACATACCCATAAGGAATATGTTTCCTATATACAGTCTTTACCAAAGGATTGAAGTTCTTTTCTTTCTCAGGCATCTTTTGAAATTTATTTGCAATTTTTCGATTGTATTATACGAAAACTAAATCGTTTAATCTCTTATGCTCCAATCTATTTCGTTTTTTCGTATGAATCTAAAAATAAATAAATTATAATATATTAGTATATAACTTCAATAGTAATAATGTTTAATATATTATTATATAAGTAATTAAATACTTACAAATTCGAATGAGTTCCAATTGCATTCATATCCGGAGGACGAACAACAAAGACTAATTATACTGAAGGCAAGTGATTGGAGCACGAAATGAAGGCCTACAAAACATTCCACCAATCAACTAAAATTGTAAAATATTAAAAAAATATAAAGAAAATTGAAAAAATAAATAAAAAAAATATAAATTATAAAAATTAAGTACTTACAAGGAATTTTTGTCTTTTGTTGCTTAATAGCCAATTGTTTTCGGAAGCTTTCCCGATGGGTCTATCGAATTAAATCCTATAAATATTTTTATATCAATATGTCAAAATAATACAAAATAAATAAAAAGATTTTTTCCATAAAATGAGAAAATATAAAAAAATATGATACAAAATAAAATAAATAATATTAGAATATTAACAAATAATATATATATATAAATAATTAAATAAATATCACTAAACAGTCGATTCTTCTATCACTCTTTCGCAACCTTGCCGAAATCTAACTTGAACAATTCAAATTGAACATAGAATTTTTTTGGGTGAAGGTGAAGTGGAATTCTACTAACTAAAATAATACGCTGAAATTAAAAGAAAATGAGGAGAAAATAGGGATGTCAACGGGGCGGATTCGGGACGGGTTTTGCAGGCCCCGAGACCCGCCCCGCTAGAAAATATTAGGCTCCGAGACCCGCCCTGCCCCGCTTCCACCCGGCCCCAGTACCCGCCCCGAACCGTCCGGGGCCAACCCGGCAAACCCGTTTTTTAAAAAAAATATATAATAATAAATATTTTTTTAACAATCGAATACTAAAACAAATAGCATTAAAAGCACAAAAAAATTATTGATCCATAAAATAAGATAAATAAATAAATAATATATTTTTATTATATAAATATAAATATATTAGGTATAATAATTTTAAAAAATTATTTGGAGCATGCGACTAATTGAATTTTATATTTAAAATTATTTAAGTAAATAAATAATATATTTTTATTATATAAATGTACATATATATTAGTTATAATAATTTTAAAAAATATCCGAATTCGGGTCCGAGTCCGGGTCTGGGTTGGGGCGGGTTTTTAGTAAAACCCGTAACCCGCCCCATTAAGAGCGGGTCCTGGGCTAACCCGCCCCATTTGACATCCCTATGAGAAAATCAGTTTACTCGCGACACAAAACCGAAAATCTCGTATTATTAAATTAGATAAAAATATGGGAGAAAAGAAATGAAGAAAATAGAGTGTATAGAATGTATATTATTGTGTAAATATGGGTGTATATATGGTACAATTAAAGGGGATATTTATAAGGGAAAAATTTCTAGAAATTTGGCGGTTACAACCGCCAATAAATAACTACTTTTAAAACTAACTACTAACTACCTCTAAAAGTAACCATAAATAATTAACTCTAAAAATAGCTATTAATATAACTATTAATAACTACTTATTTTTTCGAAGGTTTTATAATAAAAATTACATAAAAATAGCCAAAAATTGACTAAAAAGTAGTGCAAAAATTTAATTAAGGGAGCTGTGATAGTGTAATAAATGCAGGAGCTGAGGGAGCCTCGACAATAAATGGTGCAATAATTGCTACACAGAATTAATGCAGCCGCCGCTTGCCTTCCGCGCTCGCGCACTCCTATGCAACCGTCGTTCATATTATGTGCCAGCCGATGTTCAAATTTCGCACAGCTGCCGTTCACGGAGTCAGCACCAGCTGCCATCGCTTACCGCGCTCATAAATGCAGCCGTCGCTCAAATTCCGCACAGCCGCCACTCACGGAATCCGCATCAGCCGTCGCTACGCTCACTTTCATGTATGGTCTTTCGCGCTCATAAATGCAGCCGCCGCTCACGGATTAATGAACATAGAATTCCGCTTCGCTCAAATTTCCGTGCAGCCGCCATCGCTTTCCGTACGGCCGTCACGCTTTCCGTGCGGTCTCGATGCTTTTCGCACGTCCGTCATCGCTTTCCGCGCTCGCTCACTTTTGTGCAGCCGCCGCTCACTTTCCGCGTCAGCCGCTGCTCAGATTCCGTGCTCGCTCACTTTCCACGCTAGCCGCCGCTCAGATTCCGCGCTCGCTTGCTTTCCGTGCGGCCGCTGCTTGAATTTCCACGCAGCGGTTGATTTTGACTTTCCCGCATTAACTTTTATGCGTTGACTACTGACTTTTGTTGACTTTCGTGCCGGTAACTATTTTTTCGCTCCTGAAGCCATTTTTTTCGTTTTTTAAAGCCAATTTTAAACTCCCAAACCAATTTTCAAACATTATTTCACTTGTATAAATAATAAATATCTTATAAATATTTATTTAAATAAATAATAAATAAAATTAATTTAGCCAAAATTAAATACTTAAATAGCACATAAATAATGTCTAAAAATATAATTCAAAAAATATATCAATTAATTTAATTTATACACCAAAATAATTATAAATTACACCTAAAAACTAATAAATTAATATTATACAAACAAGATGAAATGAATACAATTATTAGAATAAATTAACATAAATAATACCAAAATTCGACATAAATAAATAAATAATAAAATATGGCAAAATCAAGAGGCAACAAAACAATACGAATCGAAAAGATTTTATAAGGGTTTTATATTTAGACCGGTTCAGGTAGGTTTAAGCCTAGAATCGGATTAGGGCTTGGTTTCGTCTAAGGATTACCCGCCACGACGTTGCCATGGCGGCGCCGTGACAACCATGGTCTTTAGAGCAACAGTAATGACCTCCTTTTGGAGGCACTTCCCTTAATTTTAGATTTTTTTTTTTTTTTTCCATTCATTGAAAATTGAATTCCGCATTGAACTTATTCTCTAGGTTATATTTTTGATCCGCCGTTGATGTTACCTTTACAATCAAGGCAACATCTGAGCTAAAAATTTTCTCTCTTCACTCCTCTCTTTCCACCTCGCTATCTCCTTTTTCTAGTCCCGTCGATGTCTCCGTCAAACCATTTTCCTTCTTCTTCTTCTTCTCCTTCCACCGTGACTATCAGCTTGCCTCTGCCGAAGCCTTCTCTAGCCACCATCAAAGTCGATTTTTTTCTCCAAGCAGAAATTGTCTCTTTTCGTCTCCTCTGATAAGTTCTCTAAATTTTTTTTATTTAAAATCGCAATTGATTTGAAAATTCAAGGATATGTGTCAAGTTAGAGCTTTGCTTTGAATAGGAAGTTAAACACTTTGAGTATCTTCACATTTTATTTTTATGATTATATATTGGTTGAAGATACATTTAATCTCTGGGAAAATTGTATTAGAACTTGTCATTGTGAATCGATTTGATTTTGGTTGTTACGATTAATAAGTTACTTGTGCATATTGAAAGTTTAACAAGTTCATGTTGTTTTTAATTGTTCATTGCATTTAACTTGAACCCTTTTTTTTAAAAAAATTTTTATATGCTCTAATATTGTTGTTGTTCATAGATGTTCATTGCAATTTTTTTGCATGTTAGTTGTAATCCTACTGATAAAGGTATAAATTACATTTTTAATTTTTACTCTCACTTACCTCATTCGAACATATGATGGTGACTTGTTTGTTTATCACTTAATTTGTTTTATTTTTGGGGAGACGATCGCAATATGGTTATCGTTTTGGGGTTTTTGGGGTTAGTTATGTTCGGTTGTTCATGCATGATAGAATGAGGTGTAGTCATCCCAAGCTTCAGCTTCATATATATGCAATGTTAGTTATGTTCGGTTGTTCAATGAATAGCAGTAAGTGGTTGTTCACAATTTATATAGATGAAGTAGATGCTAGATTATTATAGTATTTGTGAAGAGAGTTTCTCTCTTCGTTGTGGCAATACTAGTGCGATAAATATCTTCAAGCATCTAGTTCAACATTATTGCACAAAACACATTGATGTCTAATATTATTTTATCCACAAGTTGTTGGAAGATGGAATATGTAATATGTAGTATATCCAAACGACCGTGTAGTAGGCTGACATTTTAACTAAAGCTTTTGATTTGGACCGGTTTGTAACATTGAGAAGGAGTTTGGGTATGTGTATTCATCACTAAAATGTCTATAATTTTTCCACTCTCCATATCATGTATTGAATAATTTGATGAATATTGTATGAATAAGTTTTACTTGTTGATTTTT